CAATCTGGACAAGCTAATGGTTGTAGGCAAGATAGAGGGAAAAATACCACGCGGACGATCTCCTAGTCGATGGTCGGACCAAGTAACCGCCGTTACGGGACTGTCAACTGCAGTTGCCCTGCGGGAGGCTGAAGACCGTGCGAAATGGAATAACATCATAAGAGAGGCAACAGACAACTTTCAAGGACACGACCTCCAGTAATGAAGTGGAAGAAGAGAGAGAGAGATAATAAAAGATAAAGTTTGGAACGATACGTGGATGTACATATATATGTATTTCATTTTTTTAACAAACCAGCAGCTAGAAAATTTCATAATAAAAAAAAACAGTAAAGACAAAAAGCCCATTATAGATTTTCACAAGTAAAAACAAGATTTAACTAAATGCACAAGACATCGTCAATACTTACAATCGACTTAATTAAACTTAGAGTAACAATATTACAGTAGTAGACACGTTACAGGGAGGCAGTTATCTCCTATACTTATAATAAATCTGTAGAGAGGTCAATTCTGTACATGAAATATATTTCCAAAATAACTATCAGGCGGTGATTAGTGATCGATACTGATGCCGAAAATGCAATCAGTAAAATTTTTGTCTCTCTATCTGTATATTCGTTATAGAACCAAAAAATTACTTGACGGATTTTAACGAAACTTGGTACAATTATTCTTCATACTCCTGGGCAGGTTATAGTATACTTTTCATCATGCTACGATCAATAGGAGCAGGGCAGTGAAGGTAAATGTTGGGAAATGTTTGTTCCGCCTTCTTAAACGAATATATTTATATCACCTCTGTAACAAGGATGCCATCTGTATAATGGTATATTCCACTGAACCAATTTATTAAGCCACGAATAGGGTTTCCTTTTGTATTTGTTTCATATTAATTTTGTGATTTATTTATTTATTTATTCATTAGTACATATATGTGTACATGGCGGACTTAATGCTAAAAGCATTCTCTCCCAGTCAACCATAGGGAAGTGTCAGAATACTCGAATGCGATTGTTTTTCTTTGCTGAGCGAAACTGTTATAATGAAGCGAAATCCACTAATAGATGAACGATTCTACGCGCGTCTACTCTCTAATGTAATCCCCACATCGATTCCATTCTAATCTATTGCCAGTCACAATTAGATACCGCAATCTTGAAAACAACAATTAGATATTAGGTTGGAAATGCAATCGTGTAAGCATTACATTGATACACTAATATGTATATTTAAACATACTAGTCGCTATCAACCTGATAAACCGATTATAATATTAATCCCATGTCGTTTTAGTTAATGACTAGACATTTCCCGCGGCGTTGCCTGCTTCTATGTAGTTCCCGTATATCATTCCAATTGGAACTCTTCGTGAATCAGGTCTTATATTGTATTATATACTTAAATGATAATATGTAATACCTACATAAAGTTTCAACCAATTCAACTGATCGGTTATTTTATAGCATTTCATATGTGATTCTTTAGTTTGATATAATTTTTTTATTTGTGAATCGATTGAAATAAAACAAACACTAAATGTTAAGTGGAGCAAACCGCAATGCATTAGTGAAAATCGCATTTAAATCGGTTAAGCTGTTTCTGAGATCAGCGTTCACAAAAGTACAGAAAAACCGACATACAGACAAATAGACAAAAAATCTAAAAATAATTGTTTTGTGTTCAATTGCGTTTATAAAGCCCCTGTATAATAGTTTTTCTTATATATCTTCCATGTACAGACAGCGACCAGTTATAATTTTATTACATGTATTGATATTGATATTTGATAACGCAAACATGAACCTTCTATTCTACTAGTTGTTCGAATATGCTAAATATCTACCTACCAATCAATTCAAAATTTGACGTAATTAAAAAAAAAATTAAAAGAAAATTTTAAATTCGGACCAACATGTTCGAAATATTTCGTCTCCGTGAATCTTCACGGCAAGTCTCCGACGCAGTTGATGGGAACTAATGTTGCAAAGCTTTTAGTCTTTCCCTCGCGCACCACGCCCCCATCCTTGCCACCTGTCGTAGCTACCAACAATCCTCATTATGCATTACACAACTGTTATATTGTTGCCTTTTTGTAAACTTTAAAAAGAGAAGTTTAACGTCGGTGCACAATTTGATATGAATTTAAAATTCGAAGCGCGGGCTTTTTTAAAAATAGAAGCGATTAACAACTTTTTAAATTTGTACATTATTAGCACTTGTTCATAGATAAAGAATTCATTTTAACACGCTAGAACTTAAAGTGCTTGCATTGCAGTGCGGTTTCAAAGCAGTTTTCTCTCGTGAACTCTGGAATGAGGTCTCTGCCGAAGTTTTCCCTAGAGACTACAGTATAAGGTTCTTCAAAAAGGACATATCAAGTTTTTCAGGGTCGTCAACGCGCACGTAATACCCCTAGTGTTGCAGGCATCTACAGGCTACAGTGACAGTTTACCATCAGACGGGCTGTATGCTTGTTTGCTACTTTCGTGATATAACAAAGGCACTGAAAGAGGCTCTAGGTACTGATCTTAATCTATGAATGAGTTATTATAGTTAACATTATTTTTACTTTGTTCCTATTCCGGTTTTTTTTAATGGATGATAATGGAATGGTAACCCCGTCTGCGCTATCGGTGTACACTGGCGGGGCACCAGTGAGGGATGATAAGTGAAGATGATGCAGGTCAGTCAGCCCATCGTCACAAATTCAACAATGAACCAATCACTATGGTTTCCAGGGGGAACCGTGAGGAGGTCGACCTGATAGGGTATATTTTTTGTAATAGGGTTGATAATCCCTATTTCTGACAACCCCTTACCCTTCATTTCGATCGGGTTTACCTTGGTTATCCCTGGTTCTGGTTCCAGATCTGGTTATCCCTTCCCCCCTCCTATTTTCGTTATGATTGAATAAGAAAAATCAATAGCAATTTTTTTTTTATAGTTTATAATATAATTAAGGGCATATTTAACCCTTGTCAGTCCACTGCTGATCATAAGCCTCCCCCTTGGGGGAGTTTGACAGTAGTTGCCGCCGCTTGGTTGTCGGATTGGCAATCGAAATTAGGCTTCAGAGAAAGCCCTTTTTCATCGCCTCTTATGACCGTCACGGAAAAGAAAGGGGTGGCTTATTCTATGTCGGGACATATATATATATATATATATATATATATATATATATATATATATATATATATATATATATATATATATATATATATATATATATATATATATATATATATATATATATATATACTCTCTTTCCATTTAAGACTTTCGAACTCTTGTCGGTATATATACACATATATAATATATAAATACACACATATATACATACACATATTAATCGTTATTTACTGAATAATTAAAGGATCCGTTATAGACTTCACTGCTCGTAACGGCATGGACGGCACAGTATAATTGTTACTTTGATAAGTCTCATTATGTACTCTTAAGTATTTGCCTTCAGCAAGTTTTCTGAATACATTTTAACTACAAGCCGGGCTTTACATAAAATCAATGAATCAATTTTCGCCATAAAACATAAAAAACATAAAATTTCTTTATTAAATGGTGATTTCATCACCGTATGGTCCCGGCATAAGATGGGTTACCACTTTCTTTTCTGTAAGTGTGGTAAAAGGCAACTAAGGGAACTTAATGGTCAAAACATGGGCAGCAGCGTCCCTCTTAAAATGGCACCAAAGCCTAACTGCGGCTGCTATCGCGCCTGCCAAGTATGGCAATTACTGGCGAACCCATGGGGTATCATGGGCGAAACAGTATACTCTGTTATGTCCATGGTACTGCTCATGTCTATAGGCGACGGTTGCCACTTTCCATCAGGTGGGCCGTCAGCTTGTTTGCCATTCTAAGTTGTATAAAAAAAAACCCACCCAAGGTGAAGGCCTATATACAGCAGTGGGCAGTTAACGGATAACTTGATAACGGGACGAATGGAATGGTAACCCACTTCCGCTATCGGTTTATGCTGGCGAAGCACCAGTGACAGAAAAATAGGTGAAAATTCCACAAGAACAATCATACAATCGTTTCCAGAGGGAGACTTTGTACAAAAGTCGATTGCTTTGAGCACCTCTGTCCTATTCGTGTTTCTACCGTGAAGCAGTTGGGTTTGCATAGTTGTGTTTCGGTTTGAAGGGTGGGATATGACGTGAATTTACAGGGTACAAAGGAATAACACCTGAGTCCTCAGGAATGGCAACGCATGGGGGGTATCATGGGCGAAACAGTATACTCCGTCCATGGTATGCTCGTGTCTATAGGCGACAGTTACCACTTTCCATCAGGTGGGCCGTCAGCTTGTTTGCCATTTTAAGTCGTATAAAAAAAAGGAGGAACTGCGTGAAAATCGACACAACAGGATATATTGCCAGCAATGGGGCTACTGGATCCCATTACAAACAATTCCTTTTTCGCAAGGAAGTAGTTGAAGGAATAAAGGTTCTCGCATGTTTGTATTTCAACTTAAAGGGTAGGATGTGGCAGTGAATAGCCTCCGCATTTTATTATAATACCTTACTCCTTTGGTATGGCAACACATGATAAAATGCACCATCTAGAATTTTTTAATATTCATAGTGCTGTTAGTGTATATAGGCGAGGATTAACATTTTTCATCAGATTTTTTTTTCTAAATTGTATAAATACAACTTGTCAAAAACAAAAGTTCCATCCCAACCATCCAGATGAGTGGCGATCCTCTACCGTGCATTTTTCAAGGCACTTTCTTCTACGCACAACTACGCTTTGGAATCAACTTCCAGCAACAGTATTTCAGAACCGATACGACATCGTAACCTGCAGGAAGAGAGCACGTTCCTTTTTAAAAGGCCGGTAGCACGCCTGTGATGCCTCTGGTATTGTGGGTGATCATGGACAATGGTAGGCACTTACCACCAGGCGAGACGCATGCTCGTTTGCTCTCTGTGTTATAAAAAAAGGCGCATAAAAAAGTATTAAGTAAATATTGTAAATAATGCAATTTTAAATATGGATATTTTAATTAAATTGATTATTGGAACTTGGCTATAATATAGATATATTTATGTTTATAATATCGTAATAATGCTAATAGTTATTTTAAATATTTTTTTTTATTTTACATTAAAAATATTATAAAAATATTACAGACATAAAATAGTGCACAAGGGCGAGTTTATCTCTAGAAGAGATTTCTTCCAGCAAAACCAATATTGGACAATCTGAAAGTTTATTCGTAGTAGTTACCCGCTCTGGCTTCGCACGATTTATTTTTTCAAATAAAATACAAAATGTGCTGCTCGCTGACAATGTAGCTTTCTACAAGGTGAAAGAATTAAAAAAAAAATCTCTTTTAGTTTGTTTATTAAAAAATCTTTCATTTTTATACTATTTTATTGTTGAATATTGATTTATTATCGAATATTGATTTATTATTGAAATATATACTTATATAAATTAATTTTATTGACGATGTTTGTTTTTTATGAAAAATTATAATGATCCAATTTTTTACTTTTATTTTTATGAATTGAAATATAATTTAATGTTATTTTTTTTTCTATTCAAATTACTAGCTTCGAAAATTTACAAATTATTGAAAAAGAGTTAGTAAATATTAACAGGTCAATAGTAATTTGCTTTTCTGGCATTCATTATTGCTTTCTAATTATTTTACAACTTTTTTTTTTATTTAATAAACAAAATCCCTTATCATGATATTTGACCCCGGTATTATTTGAAATTACTTAACCGATTTTAATGGAAATTTGTATACATATATAGAGTATTTCAACATAACAGGATTAGTAATTTTTATCTTTGACCAGAGGGAGACTTTGTACAAAAGTCGATTGCTTGGGTACCTCTGTCCCATTCGTGTTTCAACCGTGAAGCAGTTGTGTTTCCATGGCTGTGTTTCGGTTTTAAGAGTGGGATATGGCTTGAATTTACTGGGTACAGAGGAATAACACCTGGGTCCTCAGGAATGGCAACGCATGGGGGGTATCATGGGCGAAACAGTATCCTCTGTTGTGTCCATGGTACTGCTCATATCTATAGGCGACGGTTACCACTTTCCACCGGGTGGGCCGTCAGCTTGTTTGCCATTCTAAGTTGTATAAAAAAAAATTGATAAGAAAAAGTGTTGACAATATGGAATAAAACTATGTCGTGTCTGCTAGTCTATCTAAATTAATATTATAAACAGGAAAGACTTGATTGTTTATTTGTAATGAATAAACTCAAAAACTGCTCAACTGATTTCGAAAACTCTTTCACCTTTAGGAAGCTATATTATCAGCAAGTAATACAGACTATTATTTTCCAAAATTCTATCTACTACTAGCTAATATTTCTATAAAAATGAATGAAATTGTTCAAGGTACTTCTACGATGGGCTTACCGCCCTCTATTTCCCACGCTGTACCACTAGCACCTTTCTCGTATACTTCTGCTGCGGCTTTACCAACTGAATCAGGATTTTGCCAAGGGCAAGTATTTTTCATGTAGTTAATGTAATGTCTAATAATCGCTGGATCGACTGTGATTCTATCTTTACTTGCTAACGACGTTTTCGTGAAACCTGGACATAGTGCTACCACTCTCACACCTGTTAGATCGTAATTGAACGTATGTCCAATAGTTCTTGTGAATCCCATGATAGCGTGTTTCGTAGCTTTATAAACGGGCAAGAACTGATCTCTTCGGTATCCACAAATAGATGACACGTTTATAATAGTTCCCCCATTTCCACCTTTATCCTTTCTCATGTGCCCCCAGAATTTGAATGTCCATTCTAATACGGCTGTGACGTTGAGCGCTACGGTTTTTCTCACCAATTTTTCATCAGTAATACCAGCGTTGTTAACCAAAACATCAACTGTCTTGTATCTGTCGAATATTTCTTTGGATACAGCTTCCAAATCAGTTGTAACATCGCATTTAATGTAAACTGCTTTGTTGCCACCGTATTTAGAGTTTAGAGTTTGCGCAGATTCCGCGCCCAGCTTCTCATTGATGTCTAGAATAATTACTGCTTTGGGGTTTTTCTCAAGAAATGAGTCGGCAATCGCGTAGCCTATACCTTCAGCTGCACCTGTGATCACTATCACTTTGTCTGTTAAAACTTCAGCCATATTTGCACTTCTAATATTATTATGTGTTTAGCCTTGACCTGATTAATTATAAATAGGTTCATGTTTAAAAATTTGATTCATTTTATATATATTTTTATCTGTAATAAATAAACTTATCATTCTTATGAGATTAAGATTTTAGTTCATTGTGTACTAAATATGTACGCAGGGTAAGTAGGTGCTTATTTATAATTATTTATTATTGAAAATAAAATTAATCAGCATCAAAAATTGACACAGGCTGGATTTACAAGATTTCATTTTGATTTATTGTTGAAGATTATTGCTTTGTTTTTAATATTTAATGAAGTAATGAAGGAAATATCTATCAACGATTTTTAGTTTCAGACTCACTTCTCGAATATTTACTTTTTAAAATCTAATATTTTATTATTATGAAACTTAGAATGGCAAATAAGCTGACGGCCCACCTGATAAAAAGTAGTAAGCCTAGATGGTCTCGTACAGCGGGGTATCAGAGATGTTTCCTTTTACAAACGTTTAAGCTATGGAATAAGTTCCTTGTCGAGGTTTTACCAAGACTCATGTAGTCTGCATGCATAGGGTCATCGTAGTTTTACGTTTTTTTTATACAACTTAGAATGGCAAACAAGCTGACGGCCCACCTGATGGAAAGTGGTAACCATCGCCTGTAGACATGAGTAGTAACCATGGACACAATAGAGTATGTACCATCAGATGTTAAACAGTTATGCTTAACATGTGGTGGGTCGTATGCTTGTTTGCCACCTAAATAAATATTAATAATATTTATTAAGTTATAAAAAGTATTCTAAATATTGAAAGCAAAACAACTGTTGCTGTGTTAGTCAGTCTATATAACTAAATAAAAATAAATTGCTGAATGCATGTAAATGCATCAAAACAGAACGCCTGCAAGTGTTTAGTTGTATTTTTATTTCTTATTGTGTTTGGGTTAGTATTATAGAAAAATGTTTGGAAAATCATACGAAAATATAAAATAAAAAAGTCCTTGTATAAAAGTGAGTGAGTGAGATGACATTAGGAAGTCCTTCAACCTGTGCGAAGCCGGAGCGGGCAGCTTGTGTTATATTATATAATACTCTTTAATACTGTAATACAATAGCTTATCATGTTGATTGCACGCATAATTTGACCTTGTACTTATAAAGATAATGATATTTATAATATTTTATCGTTGATCTTTTATTGGTAGTCGCTTAAAAATTTATTTACATATTGACATTATTGTTATATATATATATATATGTCCCGACATAGAATAAGCCACCCCTTTCTTTTCCGTGACGGTCATAAGAGGCGATGAAAAAGGGCTTTCTCTGAAGCCTAATTTCGATTGCCAATCCGACAACCAAGCGGCGGCAACTACTGTCAAACTCCCCCAAGAGGGAGGCTTATGATCAGCAGTGGACTGACATATATATGTATATATATATATATATATATATATATAAAAGGATGCTGAGTGATTGACTGACTAATTCATATGTCAATGTACAGCCGAAATAATTATAGTTTTAGTGTAGAATTTTGGCAGTTTAGAAGTTAGACAAATGAGGTTTTAGATTTAGGTTCTAGGTTCAAAACAAAAAATAATGTTTTTTTGATTATTGAAGAATTTACGCCCAAAGGGGTGAAACAAGAGATGAAATTTTGTATAGGAGTTTTTATATAATTGAAGTTATAAGTACGAAACCCTAGTTTTAGACTTGTATTTAAAAATAAATATAATACTTTACGACGTTTTTGGAAGTTTTACTTTTAAAGGGGTGAAATGCAGGCTGAAATGTATTTGTATAGGAATTCTGTTATTTTTGAAGTTAGAAGTATGAAAATTTGTTTTTAGGCTTATGATTAAAATGAAACGCTTTTTAGAATTTTTTTTTATTTACGATGTAGATGAAATTTTTTTAAGATAGGAAGTTCGCCTTCCTATTTTAAAAAAAATTCGTCTTAGTTTTTGTCTTTTGCTAAAAAATGGTAATGGGATTTCGCAATATAACTGAAGTCCATGCGGACGAAGTCGCGGGCAACAGCTATAATTTATAAGACTGAGTCGTAAAATTGATTTTTGCTAGATATCGAATATCACACGTGAAAGAAGCCGTAGGCAAAAGCTAGTTATTAGTAATTGTTTTGATCATAAAAGAATTATGAACATTTTTTAAGAATTATGATGGATAACACGTATCACCTAGTCCTGATAAAAACAATTCCTTTGAAGATAACATTACTAGTTTAGAATAAACAAACAAAAAAGAGAGAGAAAGAGAGAGAGAGAGAGAAAGAGAGAGAAAGAGAGAGAAAGAGAGAGAAAGAGAGAGAAAGAGAGAGAAAGAGAGAGAAAGAGAGAGAGAAAAGAGAGAGAGTTAAAAAATGCTTTGTTGTCGTAAAAACACTGTAACGTAAATTTTTAAAATATTAAATGAATAATTTTCGTTTTATGTCGTTCACAGAAATGAGTAATGAAATCTTATTTCGTAAACAGCACTTAAAGCTAATCCCCCCAAACTTTGTTTACATGGCGGCTGCTCGTGTATGGAGTTATTTCCCAATAAGTAGGTACGCATGGAAGTAATATATTTCAGAAACAGGAAGCATACCCTAAATGTCGCTCGAACGATTATATACAATGGCGTATGTGACACACTTAAAGCGAGTTTGGAGGGAGACTTTGTACAAAAGTCGATTGCTTGGGTACCTCTGTCCCATTCGTGTTTCTACCGTGAAGCAGTTGTGTTTGTATGGCTGTGTTTCGGTTTGAAGGGTGGGATATGGTGTGAATTTACAGGGTACAGAGGAATAACACCTGAGTCCTCAGGAATGGCAACGCATGGGGAGTATCATGGGCGAAACAGTATACTCTGTTATATCCATGGTACTGCTCGTGTCTATAGGCGACGGTTACCACTTTCCATCAGGTGGGCCGTCAGCTTGTTTGCCATTCTAAGTTGTATAAAAAAAAAGTAATTCTATTTATAAATTTGCGTGCATGTCGATTACTATCGGCGCCGCCGCTTCGCACCTGTACTGCTCAGTTTGCTTCCACTCATCAGGCTATTTCTCTGCTCAATTCTCTGATTGCTCAGCAGCCAGATATTGACATGTAATATTTAATGACAAAATAGATATGTTTTTAAAATGGTGCAAAAAATTTTCAAGTTTGTAAAATAAAACTGTGGCTCACTACACGTTTTGGGAGACTGTAAGTGTGGTGAGTAATTAAAAAATAAATAAATAAACGTATTTTTTTTTATTTATCAGAAAATTTACCTAATTCACTTAAGCAGGGGGGAAAGGGATTGTTAGTAATGGAGACTAAGAATTCCATTGCTAGCTATATACCCAACCAGGTTGACCTGCTCGCGGTTCCCCCTGGAAACTATCATGGTTAATTCTTGACGAATTCATCATGATGGGCTAACTGACCTGTTTTCATTTTTATCAATCACCCTTCACTGGTGCTCCGCCAGAGTATCCAGTTAGCGCAGGCGGGGTTACCATTCCATTTTCACCCATCAAAAATAAAATCACTTAAGCAAGAATGGATTAAGTATCAAGACACTCTAGTTTACGGTAACAATAAAATACGTATACCTAGACATATATTTAATTCAATTCTATTCGAAATTGATTTTATTGGGATAATGAACAAGCATATAAATACACGCTCCGTAAGCAATGGAACTGCTGTCACAAATATCATATCAGCCGTACTGTCCACTGCTGAATCATAGAACAGTAGTCGCCACGTTTGGCAGGCGGGTTGGCAACCTCAGTTAGGCTTTGATGATGTTTTAAGAGGGACGCTACTGCCCCCACCTCGACCTTTAAGTTCCCTTAGTCGCCTCATACGACATCTAAAGGAAAAGGAAGATTGGCCTATTCTATGCTGAGACGACATGGCATGAATAATTAAATCTTACCTTCTTTATTTTAATGTCAAAGTATTTGTTTCTTTGTTCATTTATTACCTCTTACTAAGAGGGGGGAAGGGATTGTTAGCAATGGAGTTTGACAGCCCCATTGCTAGCGATATGCCCTATCAGGACAACCTCCACGTGGTACCCCCTGGAAATCATCGTAAACAATTCTCGTTGAATTCGTCACGATGGGCTAATTGACCTGTTTTATCCTCACCTATCATCCTTCATTGGTGCCCCGCCGGTGTATACTGATAGCGCGGGTGGGGTTACTATTTCATTATCACCTATAAAAAAAACCTCTCACTAAGATGTACGTCTTCATCCATTGTCATGAAATTTGTATTCATTTTAGTTAAACGACGATAAGTTTCTAAGCAACTTGTAATGGTAATTGAGTTAACGGTCTACTTACAGACATAAATAGGATAACGGACTAAACACACATACGGACAAACATACAATGTTTTACTATTCCAAAGTATAACAGTGTTGTCCCTATATCGTCTAATTTCATTACCATAACTTACCTTTAAAACAAATAAAAAACTCTTCCTTCCGGCCCGTAGCTACTTGGCAGATTAAAGTCTTGTAAACCTAAAATATAAGTTTATAAGACTTGAATTTACAAAACTTTTTTATTGTATTGATTACAATTACAATATGTTATCATCATCATATCAGCTTTTAACCATCTATTGCTGAACATAAACCTCTTTGGGGGGTTTTGCTAGTAGCTACCACGCTTGGCAAACGGACTGGCAACCTCATGCAGGTTCTAGAGATGTTTTAAGAGGGAAAGAAAGGGGTGGCCTATTCTATGCTAGGATTACACTGCCAAAATTTTTTTTGTGTAACTTTGAATAGCAAACAAGCTGACGGCTCACCTGATGAAAAGTGGTAACCGTCGCCTATAGACATGAGCAGTACCGTGTACATAACAGAGTATACTGTTTCGCCCATGATACCTCCCATGCGTTGCCATTCCTGAGGACTCAGGTGTTACTCCTCTGTATCCTGAAAATTCACGCCATATCCCATCCTTCAAACCGAAATACAGCCTTGCAAACACAACTGTTTTACGGTTGTAACACGAATGGGACAGAGGTCAAACGA